GTTCAGGAGCATCTACTTCCTCAAGCCGTAGCACTTCCTCCACGGTACTGTAAAGAGCCCACTGTGGTCCCGCAGGTGCTTCTTCCATCCTTCGGCGCTGTGCAGGGGGTTGATTGGAACCGCCGCTGTCGGACCCCGACCTCGCGTGCCGCCTCTGCGCATAAGTGGCGGGGCTCTCCGCGGCAGCGTGAGTTTCTTCTTCGCTTCTTTCAGTCATTGTTTCTTCAGTGTCTTTACTTTGTTGTAGGCGTTGTTGTCTTGCGCTGCGGCTGCACACCAACCACCAGCCAAAACGAGAATGCAAGGGGAAGAGAAACAAAAATATGGGCACACAGACACACGACCCCACGCAGCCAGATTCAGCAACAGAGAGAGAGAAAGAGAGGGGGGCGCCCGAAGGTTGTGGCACACGCATACACATCACACTTCAGCAGCCCGCGCAATGGGCGCTGTCAAGCAACAAACACACAAACAAAACAAGCAAATCCCGTGAAGTGAAGCCGAGGCGTGGGGGCGCGTCCACCGAGCAGTGGGGACGCGCAGCGACACGTTGGGCGACCAGCACACACTCCATCTCTCTCCCTCTGTCTGTTCCCGCACAGCCCAATCCAGGAAGAGAAAGGAAGAGAAAGAGAAAGAGAGTCCGCCCACTGAAGCAAAGGGAACAAACAAACAAACAATAAAAAGGACAAAAACAGTTACGGTGCTGTAGCCCATGCAGCCAAGCAGGACGGCAGCGGCTCGTCGGGTGCAAAAGAGGAAGAAAACCGACGGGCCTGCATGAGTGGAGTTGTGTATAGTTATACGAGCACATTATGTGTGTGTGCCTCGTGGGGTGCGGCGAGGGCGAGAGTGTCCGTGCAGGGAGACACATAAATAGAGAGAGAAACAGAAAAGGACGAACTGTGTGTGCACGGCCCTCTCCTTCTCATTCGGTCCCTCACGCGGCCACCATCGCAGCGGCAGCTGCACACGCAAGCAGAAGCAGCAGCACAAGGGGGGAGGCGGAGTGCGCGGCCGCGGTGCTGCTGCCGTCACTGTCGCCGGGCGCCGCCTTCGCTGCACTCGTCGAATTGTTGGTGGTGGTCGCCGCTTGAGCAGCCGCCCCCGCTGCCGGCTGAGTGGCTTCTCCTCTCTCTCCGCTCCTTTCCGTTTCCTGCTTGGGTGTGGTCACTGCGGGCTGCTCCTTTTGTTCTCGCTGACCAGCTTCGGTTGCCGCCACGGAACTCGCCGTCTGCGACTGCGCCGCTGGGCTGCCGCTGCCACCGCCAGTCGTCGTCGCGGTGTTGTCTGTGCTGGTGGCGGTGGACCCCGCTGCTGGCGTTTTACCCTCGCTCTTTGCAGGTGCTCGAGCGGCATTGGGCTCTGCGGTGTTTTCGGCATTCGCCTCATTCGGCTCTCCGGTCTGACCGCCGGCAGTCCCACCGCCACCTGCGGAGGGAACCGGTGGAGTTCCCCCCGCCCAACTTCCAGCGGGAGCGGCAGGACCGCTGGTGGCCGAAAAGCCGATGTCGGGGTGGCCACCGCTCTGCGTCGCCGCCCCTTGCGTCTGCTTTTTGCTCTCGGGCGGCTGAGGCCCGGCGATGGTCTCGGCGCCGGCAGTGGACTGCGAGAGGGCTGTCGAGTCGCTGCCGTCCTCGGTCGTCGCTTGACGTTCTGCAACGCCTCCCGCTGTTTCACCGCCTTTTTCCGCATGCGGTTGCCCCGTGGCACCGTCAACGCCGCCTTGAGCCAAGCCACCTCCCGCCTGTGGCTGTGCATTCGGTTTGGGCAGCACTTCGGTGGCGGGCACACTTTCATCCACCTGCTTTGTGCCCTCAACGGTGTGCGCGGGCTGCCCACCGACACCACCCACCGGGGCCGCAGACTCTGCAGGCGGCTTGACCGTGGGCTGAGGCGCAGGGCCTGCAGGATCCTGCGCTGTGGTGCCTGCGGCGTTGCCGCGCTCAGCTCCTGCTGCAATGTTTTCTGTGTCGCGTCGGCCTTCCTCCTGCAGCTGCGGCGCACTTTTGGCTTCAACTGTCCGTCCTTGCTGCTGTGCCTCAGTTCCTCCCGTTAGTCTGACCGCCGCAGGTGCCGGTGGTTTGGCCGCAACGAGTTTTTCATCGTTGCACCCATCGTCCGTGTTATTCACGCCAGCCAACGCACAAACGCCTGCCGCGCCGGAAAAGGAGAAGTCAGCGGCAGCACTTTCTGCCGCCATCGACTTACTGTAAAGTTGGCTTTTCCCGTACGTCGCAACTTTCATCGTGAACGCGACAGCGTCACTGCCGGCAGCGGCACACGCCTGGGTGCAGTTCCAACAACCGTACAGCCATGCAGCGCTGTCGCACAGCCGTGCAACTTCACCTTCCAGTTCGCTTGCGTCGGTCGCACAGTTGTTCCAGTCCGTTTCTCCAGGGAACCGCCAACGCAACTTCTCCTCGGACAACCCACACGCCACGTCCACCGGCAAAAATATTTTCCCCTCAACATCAGAAGGAGGGTTCCCAGGCGATCCAGCAGTTCCTTCAGCATTCGCCCCGCAGACGGAGGGGGCGCAGCAGCCGCAGAGCAGCGCGAGGAGCGCCAGGGCGCACACCGCACGGCGCCGCACCGCCAGCGTCGTCATCGGCAAAAGTAGTAGTGGTGGCCGTAGAGTCGTGGCAGAGTCGCTGAAGTCAGCGGGGAAAAAGACGCAGGAAACAAGAGAAGCAGAGGGATGGAGAGGGAGTGCAGCGGAGACAGTGAAGAGAGCAGGTGGCAAGAAGAAAAAAGGCGGCAGCCGAGCAACTTCACGCAGCCACACACGCAAGAAAGACGCACACGACGCCAGCAGTCATCCACGACGGAGCAGCGAAGAGCAGCCGCCCCCACACGCACATGCACACGGGAAGTGGGCCCGCAGCCACCACCCAAATGAGGCGGCTCCCGCGAGGAAAACGAGTTAGTCACAGCGCACTCCCCCTCGTGCTGTGCGTTTTCCTTCCCTCCTCTTCACGGCCCGCGAGGAAACGGCAGCAGCAGCCGCACACGGCACGGGCTGCGAAAAGGGCATCCACCCGCACGGCACTACAGGCGCATCGCATGCACGTCGGTTGTGTGTGTGTGCCTGCAGACACGCAACGCAAAGAGGGAGAAGGGAGAAGCGCGGGGGGGGCACGACAGACAAACACACACGCACAGCAGAGGCGCAGGAAGGAAATGAAGCAACAACTGAAGCCGGAGCCGGCACCGCAGCCCAAGCGGCGGCCAGCCACGGGAAATA